TTTAATGGGAAATGATTCATGTTGAAAATTGATTAAATGAATTGTAGTACATCTTTTTGATAGACTACTATGTAAACTTTTAAGGTGATATTGTAGGAGAGATATTTAATGTCATGAAAAGATGTTTTGTTACATTTTATGTCAGGAATACAGCTAATTAAAAATTATGTGCCATGGCTGAAATAAAAAGGTGTTAATTTTTCTCACATAACAGGAAGACCAACATAGGCAGCTTCTGGCCTTGGTTCAGTTGGTTCAATGACATCAAGACCAACAACTCTGCCATTTTGATGTTGGAAACCTCATGTTCACATGAAAGCTGCTGCAGCCTCGGCCATCCAGTCTACCTTGAGAGCAGAGAGGAAACTGTGGTGTCAACAGCTATTTCTCCACTGTTTAATCTAGAAAGCAAAAATTTTCTCAGAAACCCATACCTGACTTTTTCGTTTGGCATCCTATTGGCCAAAATAATGTCACATTTCAATTTCTGACTTCAAGAGATGATAACAAAGTATCTAGCTTTTCAAATGACAACATGAAGGTTGGAAATTACAATTGGATCAGTCATACCAAAGGGTCCACCACTTAATTTAATAAAAATGTAGTTTGCAGAATGACATTTATGACATGACCACATTAAAACACAAAATACGTGATCATATAAATTTTTTAAAACTGGAAGAACTACTCAAAAATTTTATTTCTGAATGATTCATTATTTTGTTTTACATTTTCCATACTTTATATTCTATAAAGTTACAGTGACTCTTAACCTCCTGTCAGCTACTTTAAAAGTCCTGAAGCTTTATGTGATTGGATTATAAATGAGATTATAGAATTATTTCTCCTTTACTGGTTTAAGAAAAGCATTTTCTAAAATGAGTATATCATTTTTATAAAAAAATATCAAAAGATGGTTCATTAAATTATATGTGAAGGCATACAAAATGATTCTTGAAATTTTCACTTTTCTCCCCTCCTCATTATATCATAATTAAGTGAAACTCAGAGAAGTGATGAGGAGCTCATTCCAAGTCCCACATCCGTTTAGAGGTAGAATTTGGCCAGCCTTTGGTGTTCCAGCTCGCATTAAAGGAGTATCTACCGTACTTTTTTCTTTTTTTAAAAATATCATTGTTTGACTTTGCAACCCTCATCAAGTTGGACTTGCGTGTCTCAGTTCTCCTAACCAACTGCGTCCTGATTTCCTCCTCTTCTGTGTTGTGCTTGGTGTTGCCTGATAGATGGCAAATGTCTTCCCCCACCCAAGTTTCTGATATCTAAGGTTGTACATATTCTTTGTAGGGTACCAGTCTGTCAATGGTCAACCTATCATTACACAAATATTTATTATTAGCACTGCATTAGGTATTATGAATGTAAATAATGATGAACAAAACACAGTCATTGACTTGAAGAAGTTTCCGAAGACTCCGGAGGCAGCAGGGTACACTGGCAGGTACAGTAGAGATCCTTGCCGTGAGGATTGAATGGAAGATAGGAGGAACACTGATGTGGCCCTGTGACATGTGGGGTTCTTCCAGAGGGGTCTCTATAAGGAAGTCATTCCAAGCACAGAACTGAAGAGGAAATAGGTGCTAACTGGGGAGAGAGGAATAGAAAGACGAGGGAGGAAGCTTTCCAGGTAAAGGAAACACATTTCAGCTTCCCAAAGCATGTCTGTGTGCCGTGAGGTGCTAGTATTTTTTTTCTGGGGAAAAAAGACATTATGGTTAAATGATACTAGGAAAGCTTAACAGATTTTGACCTAGCCCAAGCTTTTGTCAGTTTTTTTTCCCCCACGTACCATATTGCTAGACTTTCTCCAGAGCCCTGGGCCTTAAAATGTTAATCTCAGTGCCACTGAGTTGTATAACAGGCAAATTTCATATTTTTTCTAGTTTAAAAATATCAGTCTTCCTTTTCCTTATTATTATTTCTTATCACATTTTGGAGCATATTTTAAGTTTGAATAGGAGGAAGGTAACTCTGAGGACATTTGCTAAAAACCAATTTTGGTTCGTTATAGAAAAAATGATGTTCGTGAAAAAATAAAACAAGGGATAAGAAGGTAAACTGGTTTTAAATTTTTTTAAAAATATAGATTTGATAAAAATTTTTTATAATCTTAGGGATATTTTTAGCCTATCTGTAAGGTTGCAGAGTCTAATTGGTCAGTGGAGAGGACCGTGTACACTGGGTGTGAAACTGATTGCCAGGAGGATCCAGAAAGGAATCGCTGCATCTCTTTAAGTCGTACCCATTGCTCTCTAGGGATCTGAGTTGAGTCATTAGCAGCACCTTAAATAAGAGAAGTGGGATTTCAGGAGATGCCCGGCTCCCCGCATCGGTCCTGCCAGGATTCTACCCTTTTAGTCTTCATTTTCCCCTGCCGGGTGGCACTCCACTGGCTCCCGCTGCCAGTACAGGGAAGCTCTTGATCCTCAACAGCATCTTCACTGCCTTTCACCTGCGGCAGTTCATAGTGTAAACTGGCTTCCCTCCCTTTACTTTATGGAATCAGGTTAGGTTTTAAACCTGCCTTATCACTTAGGAAATTTCACTTCTCTCAGCCTCAGTTTGATCATCTGCAAAATAGATATTATTATTATTATCCATGTTCTGTGGGCACAGTGTCCACCCTGTAATCCCAGTGGCTCAGGAGGCTCAGATGGGGATTGCAAGTTCAGAGTCAGCCTCAGCAACTTAGCAAGGCCCTCTGTCAAAAAAATTTTTTTTCCAAAAAAAAAGTGCAGGGAGAAGTGGCTCAGTGGTAAATCGCCCCTTGATTAAATTCCCAGTATAACTTCCCATATTCATGTTCTAAGATGATTGAGTTTAGCATATGCTAACAGGTAAAGTAGTGTACAAACCTGTGCATCCAGAGCTGATGTAATTCTTCATTAGCCCCCTTTTGCCCTTGGAATAAAGTTGAAGATCAAAACCTGGGGTTCTAGGCCCTTCATGACTGGCCCCTCCCCTTGTCTTCCTTTCCACTTCCAGTACTTTCTACTCCGTGCTCCAGTCTTCGGCCACATCACCACAGCCTCCAAACACCAGGTCATTTCTTGCCTCTGCTTCTGTTTTATGCTGCTCAGCTAAAGCTCTGTACCTTGTTTAAGACTCCGCTTGGCAAAAGAAATTAGAATAAAAACATACATGATTTAGAAGATTCTATTTTTATGAAGTCCAAGGGCACTCAAAACTAATCAGTCATTTTAAAAAATAAATACATAAAAATAATAAAATAAAAATTAATACTAAAAAAACCCCCAGTATCAATTAGATAAAAGTCAGAAACTGGGGAAGGAAGTGGGGTTGAGAGGAGAGGGGCACAAGGGACCTGTCAGGAAATGTTCTAAGTGATTTTTAATGGTGGCGGCACAAATGTATGCAATTGTTAGAACTTATCAAATGGAATACATAACTCCTGGACATTTTGTTGTATATTAGTAGTACCTTGCAAAATAAGCTAGGGGCATCATCTCTAGGAAGCTTTTCCTGGTGTGCCAGTGCTGAATTTTTAAGCCTCTCTATACGGTCTCTTAACTTCCTGCACATACTTCTGCCCTTACACTTGGTATAAATGTCTCTCTTTATGTGTTTTGTGCTCCACTGGTCTGTGAACTCCTGTAAAGGCCCAGATACCTGCTATCTACGAAACTGTAGTAACACTACTCTACCTCAACCTGTCTAAGCTGTAGTTTCCTCTTTTGTGAATGGGAAAGTATTAGTGTCTCCTACAAAAGGTTTAAATGACAAAATGATGATAATGTATGTAAAGAACTCAGTACATGGAAAGTAGGCAATAATTATTAGTCTTGTAATAGGGGAGAAATTTTTTCACACAATTCTTATTTGCAAAATAAAGTATAACTTTTATTTCCACAGCTAACCCAGTCTTTACTTGAGCCCCCCCTTTTTCCTAAGCAGATAGCAGACTTTATGTAACAATCCTCAAATAAATTATTTTAGTAGATACTAATAAGAACAAAGTGTATGCCACTCACTCTCTTCAGGCTCACTGAGAGCTCTCTGCATGCATTACATTGATTT